GAAGTGACATCTTCCCTGTTCTGCCCCAGCCCCTAACACAGGCCTTGTGCAGCCGGCACCCAGGTACACCCGGAAGACGGCAGGCTCACCTCGTCTGCCAAAAAGCCACGCTCACCACCAGAGGCGAAGGGGGCCTGACGTCCACCTTCCTCAAGGCTCTACCCACGACCAAAGATATCTCTAGATGTTTTTAGCCGTAGGGAAACCGGAGGAAGACATTCACTGCGTCTGCCCCACCCCAATGTCACGCCCACATCACCAGGGACTCCAGGCACCACCGTGGACTGGATACCTGTCTTGGTTATTGGGGGCTGGGTAGGTGCAGCTGTACCTGGACAGCTCAGACCCCCTACCACCATTGTTGCCTCGGGCCAGCAAGCCCAACGCCTCCCTCGTTTGACAGATCAAGAAACTGAGGCTGGGGAGTGGGGGGCAGGTTGGGGGGGCCGCGAAGCGATGGCTCAGAACCAGTCGGCCAGTGGGGTGGAGCCAGGACACACCCAAGAACTCAGCTGGGCGCCAGTCCGGGGACACCGCGCTCGCCACATGGCCCGGTCACCCCAGCCTCCCCCACGGCCTCCAGTGAGCATTCAGAGACGGCAAAGAACCAGACCCACGAGTGAGCGGCCAGCGCCCGCCTTATAAGGCAGCCTCGGGGAAACTTGGCCGGTGGAACCAGGGGGGTGGCTCCCGGGGGGAGGGAGAGCGACGAGCCTGCCACACAGACATGGTTCTGGGTCCTGCAGCCCAGCCCCACCCAGAGCCACCCAGGTGGGGGCAGGGGGACCTGGAAGGGGAGGCAAGAGCCTGAGAGAGGAGCAGGGCTGGAGGCTGCCAGGTCCAGGGGCCTTGGAAACCAAGAACCCAGAACGCCAGAGTGAGCGGATCAGACCTGTGGGGTCTTGGTTGACCAGAAAAGTATCTGCTTGATCCCTGGAGAGTCCCATGGGGTCCCTGCAGCCCCTGCATCTGCCTACAAGAGCCACCACAAAGCCATCCCCATGTCACTCCTCCAACATTGTTTTATTGAGCACCTGTTATGTCCAAGTCACTCGGTATCTCATGAGAGTCTTTCAAAAAGAAAAAAAAAGACAACAGCCCCAGCCTCAAGTAACCTGGAATCCAGTTCAGGGCGTGGAAGGAATTCTGAAGAAGACATAGCAAACGTTAAGAGTGGGTATCGCTGGCTTACAGGTGAATTATAGTTTCTTTCTAATGTCTATATTTTCCAAATTTTAAAGAAACAGTACTGCGAAAAACTGTTTTTGCATTAAAAAAAAAACATCTAGCAGAGGAAAGAAGGTTCATACACAAATAATTTACATTCCAAGACAAACACACAATATTATACATGAGAAAGATGCAAAAAGGCACGGGAATCAGAGGAAGTGAGGCTACTTCCAGTTAGTGGGAGAGGTGCCATTTGAGCAGGACTTTGAAGGATGCATAGGAGTTTGAAAAGCAGTGATGTGAAGAGGAGCGGGGCTGGGGATCAGGAGATCAGTGCAGAACCGCTGTGAGGAAAGGTGGCCAGTGGGAGACCACGAAAGGGCCAGAGCAGGAGGGGCTGGGGAGCAGGGAGGTATGAGCTGGACAAGAGGGTGAATCTACCGTGGAGGGCGGGGGCCCCGGCGGGTGAGCAGTGAAAGCTCATAGTGAGCATGGATTTCATCAGTGCTGTGCTTTAGGGAGGTCAATCTAGGAACAACTTAGCTGAGGTCCCAGGACACCCTGTCCTGTGCCCACGGTCACAGTCTGGAGGGCTTCCTGGAGGTAGAGGCAAAGGGCTGAGTCTGATCAGAGGGCACAGAGCTCCCTACCTCCCTGATCCTTTGACCCCGCAGCGCCAGCTGGCCCTCAGGGGTAAGGGATAGTGAGCCCATGGAGGGCAGTCAGAGCAGGCCCTGCAGGCTGGGGGGCTCCTGGGAGCTCCCAACCCAGCCCCGCCATGGAAGGGCGGAAGGGGATGGGAGTGTCAGGTCTGCAGGAAAGATGGACAGGAAATGAGGCCGAGGGACAACCGATCTGTGCCTGGAGGGGCTGGATAGGCCGAGACCAGAGGAGGGGGAGGGAGGGAGAAGCGGATGGAGCCTCAGAACAGGGGCTGGTGGGGGGGAGCTAAGACCCGGGGCTCTGCAGAAGCCACTGCAATAGATGCAGGGAACACCCCTCCATCGGGAAGACCCTGGACTTGCCCAGGACCTCAGGACCGGACGTGCAGGCGAGCAGGTGAAGGCCGAATTTCCCAGCCCACAGAGGGCCTTCCCCCCCCCCCAGCCGCTTCTCACCCCGCATTACTTCCAGGCTCAGCCCACAGTGACTTCTGTTTTAAATGAAGAGAATCCGCCCAGAGTCATCCAAGCCCCCACCTCCTCCAAACCCGAGCATCCTTCCTCTTTGCAGTCTCTGTCCAACGCCCCCGCCTGGTTCAAATGCACCCAAAGGTTCTCAACCTGTGAGCCCTGGTCTCAGAGAGCCCCTCCCCATCCAGCCAATAGGACCTACAGGAGGCGGGCTCAGCACACTTGTGAGTTCACACATGTGCACACCCATGACTGCCACATACGCCGACCCCCAGTTCGTGCTCCAGGGGTGGGAAGGCAGCACACCCCTCCCCCCCGGCCCGTGGACCTCTCCACGAAGAGCTGGACTTCCATCTGCACAGAGGGGCTGCGGGTCCACGGTGCTGGCGCCCAGCTCAGACACTGAAATCCTTTTCCCTGGAAAAACCGCACAGGCCCAAAACCAGGGTCCCCAACACCTCTGGACTGCGGCCTCAGCTGGGAATGCTCTTCCCTCCCCCGTCTTTCCCTGGTTAAATCCCACCCTCTCCAAAACTCAGCTGCTGAGGCCCGGGCCCCCGGGGGCTCTCCCACAGCCCCGCCCACTTGGTTCCACGGCCGCTGTTCACATCCCGCTCCTGAGGCAGAGCTGACCTGACCAGTCCCCACGGTCCGACCCGACCAGCGGCTGCCGCTGGAGGAAGATGTTCTTAGACATGCCCGAGGCTGCGCCCCGCCCCGCCCGCCCTGACAACCCAGGGCGGTGCCACACTGAGCAGACACCCCCTGCCGGTCCCCCAGAGCAGGACCACCTCCTCGGGCATGCAGTGCCAACTGTCATCAAGATCTGGACGGTGACGATCGTCTCCCCAGCCACATGCCGTCTGACTCAGCTGAGCGCGAACACCTCACCCCTGTGACGGGGCCGTATCCGGCAGCAAAAGCCCTGGACCAGCAGAAGATCATGAGGAAACAGCCTCCTGGCCGCTCCCTAAACACCAGCCATGCGTCCTGACATTGGCACCAGCGCACCTGGGGGGTGGCGTGGCTCTGCAGGGTCACGTCTGGGGAGATGCAGATTCACACACCAGGGCTGGAAGGGACCTCTTGGCCCCTGCTGCCCACAGCGTGGCCCAGCGTCAGAGGAAGTTCAGTCAGCCCCTCGGCCCACCAGACCTGCTCGGTCAGATGTGCACTTGGGCAGAACGCAGCTGCTCCACCACCACCCCTACCCCACCCCATCCCAAGCCCCCAAGTCCACGGACCACAGGAAAACTCTCATTCAAAAAGGAAAACCTGAAAGAATTCAAAGCAAGGACTCGAGATACTCGCACACCCACGTTCACAGCAGCTCCACTGACAAGAGCCAAGCAGCAGGAGGACCCCAGGTACCCATCAACAATGGATGGATAAGCAAAGTGAGCTCTACACATAATGGAATATTACTGAGCCTTAGAAAGGAAGGAAATCCTGACACCTGCCACAACATGGATGAACCCTGAAGATGTGCAAAGAGAAACAAACCAGACACACAAGGACAAATATTTAGGATTCCACCTACATGAGGTACCCAGAGTAGTTAAATGTATAGAGACAAAAAGTAGGATGGTGGGTGCCAGGGGATGGGGGGAGGGGAGTTAGTACGTTATGGGGACAGAGTTCCAGGTGGTGAAGATGAAAAAGTCGTGGAGATGGATCACGGTGGCAGCTGACAGCAACATCATGTTTTTAACGCCCATGCCTTGTACACTTAAAAATGGCTACACCAGTCAGTGTTGTTATGTGTACTTTACCACCATTAAAAATCATTTTTAAAAGGTATATCAAAATCCCAGAATGTTCTGCCTGTTCAACCCAAAGGACACTTACTGAACATTTACTGAGCTCCGAGTCCCGGGATCAGAACTGGACCCAGCTTCCACTGGGCTTACAAGCCAGCCGGCACCTTAACACAGCCCATGGGGCCAAGAGCCTCCCTGCGGGGGCAGTAACAGCGTCCCACGGGACTGGCACTGCCTCCCCTGTGAGCTCGCTGTGAGCACAAGTCCGGGTCTGGACCCTCCGAGGATGGTAGCCAAGCAGAACACCCCCAAACGGAGCTGTGAATAGGAATCACGGGGCTCCCTGGCCTGGGACCCCCTCCAGGCAGCCCTGAAAATATTAGCATGCAGAGATGAGGCGTTCTCATGCTCCCTTTGCATCTGGCCACGACCCTCCCTACCTGGGAAGGAAGAAGAGGAAGACCCTCCTGTGCAGAAAACCCCTCCTCACCCCCTGCCCCGGGGGTACCAGCAGGGCAGTCACAGTCCCCTCCTGAGCAGGAGCCTGCCTCCCCACGGCCCAGTGACCGCCAGCCACCAAGAATGTGACAGCCTGTGCTAGCGTCTCAAACCCATCCAGCCCCGACACGAGCCTGCCCCGGCTCCTGCTCCCAAGTCCTGGGCTCACAGCAGAGGTTACACCACGGCCCTGTGGACCAATTAACAGGGGCCCTCCACAACCCAGAGATTCTTTGCCAAGTCTAACTCAAATCCAACTTGCTGCATCTCGGTCCATCCCCCGTGGACAGAAAGAGCTGCCAGTCCCCTCCCCTGAGCCTTCGGAAGTATACGCGCCCCCCTCCTCAATATTCAGCTTCTTCCTCCAAGACTCCAGGGCAAAGCCAGCTCCCCACCCCCCAAATCACTGCAGCACGGATGACCGGCACCTGCTACTCACCCTCCTGGCTCTTGGGTGGGGCCTCAGCCACGGGCGGCTGGGGCTTGGGCTCCAGCCTGCTCTGCAGCTGAGACATCGGGGTGGGTTCCGAATTCTCCAGGGTCTGGGGTGGGATGGGGGAGGCGGGCCCCTCGGCTGGCTTGGGCACCTGGATCTCGACCCTCTTGGGGGCTGCGTCAGCGGTGGGGATGGCGGGCACCTCAGGGATCTTGGAGGTGGGGGTCTCCATCCTCCGGTGGGCTGACTCCTGGGGCTTGACTATGGTGATCTCCGTCCTCCGAGGGGTGGGCTCTGGCGTCTTGTGGCCCAGTGCCTCGGCCCGCTTGAGCCCGAACCGGGACGGCCCGGCGGTGCCGGTGTTCTCTACCTGCTTGGACGAGATGTCGATGGAGATCTCGGTGCGCCGAGACACAGGCTCGGCCTTGGGGCCCGAGAGCTCGACCCTCCGCAGGGCAGCCTTGGGGGATCGCTGGCTGAGGGAGTCTACATGGCGGGCCGCGGGCTCTGAGTTCTTCACACCCAGGTCCTGGAACTTCTGCGTGGAGCTGGCCACAGAGGCCCGGAGCAGGGGAGTCTGGACCCTCCGGGTTGGGGTGGAGTTGGGCGTCTCGACCTCCTCGACCTCAAAAGATCTTTTCAAGGCTGAAAGAGAAAGCGAGGAGAACGTGGTAAGTAGAGCCCCTGGGAACATCCCGCTCACGGGGAACACCAGAGGGCAGCTGGCGGGGACGCTACAGCAAGGGGCCCCCGGGAAGACTCTTGCGCCCTTCACCTCTCAGGAAGAAGAGAGGACAGCCCCACTGTCCGAAGGGACTGAGGCACCCGCAGCCACGTGTTCTGGGAGAGAGAGAAAAGGCCAGAGCTTGGAGGACGCCCTCTGTCCTCTCTGTCCTGCCGTGGCCATGGTCCCGCCAGCTACATTTTCTATAAGGATGTTCTGGCTCAAGGGAGGGGCCTTTGATTTCTTTCCCTCCTCACCTCCGCCCAACCCAGACACCAGCAGCAAACACCACCACCAGCAGCAGCGGTGGAGAGACGTCCCCAGTAATAACAGCCACAACCATAACCAATCAGAATCTCGATGGGGGGACTTCCCTGGTGGTCCAGTGGTTAAGACTCTGCGCTCCCCATGCAGGGGGCCCGGGTTCGATCCCTGGTCAGGGAACCAGATTTCGCATGCATGCCGCAACTGAAAAGATCCCGCGGGCCGCAACTGAGACCCGGCGCAGCCAAATAAATATAAATAAATAAATACAAAAATTCACGAGAGAAAAAGAAAAGAATCTCAATGGGAATGTCACCACCATATCAGTAACAGCGAGGACAGTCAACGCTGGAACTTTTAACACAGGCAAGGCATTGGGCTTACTGTGCATAACCACACTTACCCACCCCCCCCAACCCCATGGTGTAAACGAGGCTATAATCCCCTGATACAGATGGGAAAACTGAGGCCCAGGTGCTTAAGCAAAGTGCCCAGTGGCGTGGGGTGAGTAGCAGAGCCGGAAGATGTGTCTAACTCCCAGGCCCAGGGTTCTTACTCCTTTCTGGTGGAATAATGGAGATCCTGGGCGAAGTTCACACCGCTGCCTTTCTTAGTCCTCACACCGGCTGCTTCTGCCTCCATCCTATACCACTTGCCCCAGCCGGACCTGGGCCCACGCAGCACACTGACCACCCAACTCCCACCCCACAGCCCAGCATTTCCACCCGTCCACCCACCGTCTCCGCCAGGATCTGCTCCCTCCAAGGCGGTGGGGACACTGCCTGAGAAGCCACTATCCCCACGGTTCCTGCAGCCATGCTGCAAACGAGAACCAGCTGCTCCCGGTTATAAGGACCAGAGCGGGAAGGGGCCCGTGGGGCAGGAACATGCCCCAGCTCCTTCCCAGCCGGGCCCACGGCGCGCCCTCAGCGACCCACAGTGTCTCTCCCACCCCCCTCCCCACCTCACCTCACAGCCCCAGGAGCCCAGGATTATAGGGATCCCCCCCACAATTTCCTCCCCCAGCCCGCAGCTGTTCCCCAGCCCCCCACACCAGCTCTCAGGGCCATTCTGAGCAGCCCTTCCCTCCAGTCTTCCTTCCTCCAAATTCCAACACAGCCCTCGTCTCTTCCCCGTGGACATTACCTCCTTCAGAAGACCAGGGTGGAGTGGGTGGCTGAGTGGGTGGGTGGCCAGGGGCATGTGTGCTCTGAAGCACTGGATGTAGGGAAGCAAAGGAGACCCCAGACCCTGATACCTGGCTGCCGGAACTACCAGTTTCCCAAACGTGACACCCCTGGGGGACCCTGTCTAAGCCCTGGGCACACCTCCTTCACAAAACCCCGGGTCACAAAGCTCGACCATCCCAGAGGCCCTGCAGGGATGGGAAATGTGCAGATTTCGGGAGCGGGCGCCTCACCACGCACTGACTCAGGGACACACCTGCTGTCCAGCTTCGCTGCGGCCAAGCAGGCATGTGTGTGCAATGTGGCCAGAGCTCCGGATTCAAGAGAATCTGAAAATCTGTGTTTTTTTAATATGTTATCTCCTGATTTTTAAATGCTGGCACAAACAAAGCAAAACAACCCCTTTAAAAACACTGTGCGGTCAAAGGAAATCACATCCAAGGGCTGCACTCGGCCAGTGGGCCCTGCCGTGACCTCAGGTTGATAAGGCAGACGGCCAAGCGCGGCAGGGGTGTGCCTGTGCAAGGACCCCAGCTGGCGCAGCTCTGCCTCTCACCGGGGGCTGTCCAGCAAGATACGCAGGGTACAAACTGCCCGTCCAAAGAAGCCTCAAGTGCCCAGGGAGAGGTCAAGTGCCTGCTAAACTGGCCAGAAAGTCCAGGGCTGAGTGCCCGGAACTCTGTCCTCTCATGGTTCCCAGGGCCTCCCGAGACATCTGGTCTACCCTCGCCCCGAGAGCACTGTCCAAACTGTCCCCGATAGTGGCTCCTGTCTGTCTGTGAGCTCCCTCGAGGAGGGGTCCACACCCCACCCGCCTAGGCATGTGCACGTCCAAGAGTACTTGGTGTTAGCTCCTTGGGGCCAAGTTGGGAGAACAGGACCTAGGTGGGTAAGGGCTCTTTCCCAGGTTTGCCCCACGGGAATAAGACGACCTTTTCCTGGGAGTCCCGACAAGATCTGTGCCCCTGTTTGGAGAGCCCCCTTCTTGGGGAGCCCATTTGAATGAACCTCCAACTGCAACTCATGAATTAAGACCCTGCGCCAAAGCAAAGGCCTCCCTGAGTCGGGAGGCCCGATTCGGCGATGACTTGGAACCAGACTGGCCGGCACACAGATCACTGCTCCCCGGAACACAAAGTCTACACAGAACGCACAAACCCGGCCCCATCCGCCACCCCCTCCTCTCTTGGGCTGCTCTGTGCTTCTTCCTGACACATGCCACCCCCTGGGCCCACACTGTCCGCATGCTTAGCCCTCGGCTGTATCGTCTATCCAGGCATTCACCGGCCAGCACCAACACCCCCATTTGTCTAGTTCTCTCTGAGAGGACAAGGGCTGTTCCCACCATCAGGACGGTCCCTGCTCAGCAAACATGCAGGGCTGTTGGGGGTTCTGGATGGCTTACGCCATCCCCAAAAACAAGCGCTGCCCCCACCCAAGGATTTCAAGTCCCCCCCCCCCAAAGCCAGGCTCACTCTTGCCTCCTCCCAAAGCCTGCCGTGGTGGCCCCGTGCAGTTCACGCCACTCCCTCCCGTGTCATCCCGATCGTCCCAGGCTGCCGGGACTGACTTCGGGGGAGGGGGGCTCCCTGGGAAGAGAGCCGGAGTCCTCTCCTCTGTTACACCACGAGCCAGCCCTCCAGCCCTTCCTGGGCCTCGGGTGCTTCTTCTTCACAATGTAAAGGCCAGACCGGATCATAGGTTTGTAACTGTGGGCCCAGAGCAGGGAGGTACCAGGCCCTCAACCCCATCTCAGCCTGAGAAGTTTCACTTTCCTCTAAGGTTCTGTAGGGAGTTGAACAGTGTCCCCCCGCCAACCTAAAAGCTACGTCCAAGTCCTAAGCCCCAGAACCTGTGAATGTGACCTTACTTAGAAAAACTCTTTGCAGATGTAATCAAGGTAAGGATTCAAGATGAGATTAGCCTGGATTTAGGGTGGGCTCTAAGTCCGGTAAGTGTCCTTATAAGAGAAAGAAGAGGGAGATCTGAGAGACACGGAGAAGAAGGTCATGTGACAACAGAGGCAGAGACTGGAGTGATGCAGCCGCAAGCCAAAGATGCCTGGAGCTGTCAGAAGCTGGAAGAGGCCAGGAAGGATTCTCTCCTAGAAGCTTTGGAGAAAGGTGGTGCTGCCAACACCTTGCTTTTGGACATCTGGCCTCCAGAACCATGGGAGTAAATCTCTGTTGTCTAAGCCACATTGTTTGTGGTCATTTGTTACATCAGCCACAGGGAGTTAACACAGGGACCGTTGGAGGGATGAAACCTCTGGGCTACAAGATTGTCTGGGGCCCTTCCCGCTGGTGCTGTCACGCCCACTCTGCACCCAGCCCCACTCAAGAAATGTCCAAGGACTTCCCGTGGCGGCCCAGTGGTTAGGACTCAGCGATTTCACTGCCGTGGGCCCGGGTTCAATCCCTGGTCAGGGAACTAAGATTCCGCAAGCCGCGAGGTGTGGCCAAAACGTAAAAAAAAAGAAGAAGAAGAAGTAGAAACGTCCAACGGATGGACCAATGGAAGCGTGGCCGAGCTCCAGAACTGCTGTATCAGGCACCCAGAGGAGGAAAAGCTGACTCCTTCAGGAATCACACAAAACCCCAGACGGTGGGAGAAGTCGTCACGAGAATAACATTGCTCTCGATTTACACCGGAATATTTGGTGATGAAACCAAAGATCATTTTTTAAGGCAGGCTGTGCGAGGGATGCCCTAGGAGCAGCCGCCTCTATACAGAGGATGTCATGACACAATTAGCACCCAGCTGGGAAGAGTTAGGAGACGGCTTGTCACGAAGCTGGCAGGACAGGGTCCTCCAGCATCCCGTCCCCCAACGGAAGTCCTAAACACACGCTCCAGGTCCTGCCCCAACACGCACAGCCACCCCTCCCTTTCCAGGGTCAGACTCACCCTGGAAACTCCTTCCACTTCCTCCGTGGAGAATGGCTATAATCCACCACGGCAGTGGGTGCTTTTTTCCACTTTACTCTTCTCCCCTCTCCCTGCGGAGAGGCAGCCCAGGGGGTCCAAGTGCGGCCGAGGAAGCCGGCAAGAGTGCAGACTGGAGGCCCCTACGTAACCGCATCTGATGGGGGACCGACGGGCAGAAAAGTGGCCTTTCACTGGACCAGGGCAGTGGAGAGTGGCGCTGTGCTGCTTCCTCTTTTGTCTGCAGGATGCTAGATGCCCTCAGAGGGCAGGCAAGAGACCCCCACACCCCCGCCCCGAAGCTGGACAGGACAAACGGCATGGCTGCGGGGCACCAAACAAACATGGGACCAGGCTGTACTGGGAGGGTCCCCGAACTGCCGCTGGGAGGGAAAAGGACTGACATCTCCCACAGGGCACGGGGGGCCCACCCATCCTCACACCATTTCCCAAATAAGAACGCCCCCGTTCTCCCTCTCGTGAAGTCAAGAACCCCCAAAGCCGGGCTTGAACACCGCTTGCTCCCCAAAGCCCTCCTCGGCCCCA